TATATTGAAGTCACCAAGCAGAATTATGTTGGGTGAGAGAGTGGCGAGGTGATTAAGGAGGACAGAGATTTCATTTAAAAAGTCACTGTGAGGTTTGGGAGGACGGTATATTGTGGCAATGATTGTGGGGACATGTCCAGGTAGCTGACATGCCAGGCATTCAAGTGAGGAGAGAGGAGGCAGAGGGACAGGTAGGACCTTCCACTTCTCGCGGTAGAGTATCGCGAGACCTCCCCCACGACCCGACTCGCGAGGTTTGGAGATGTAAACAAACCCCGCCGGAGAGGAGTCGTTCAGCTGGGAAAAATCACCGGGGACTTGCCACGTCTCATTTAGGCAAAAGAAGTCAAGCTTACGGTCAATGAGGATATCATGAATGAGGTGTCCTTTACCGGAGAGGGATCTGATGTTGAGCAGACCGAAGTTGACGTTCGTGGTGTTGTGGGGAGTGCTAGCCGACCTAGCCAGGTCGGCTAGCACCCTGTGGTCCACAGACCGGCTGGTGTTTCTCTGTGGGCGACGAGTGGAGGACCAGAAAGATGTAATCCCGTTGGAGCTGCCAGAATGGAGAGTCCGCCGAGACCCACGGTGGATGTACCTCGGACGAGGCAGGAGGGCGATGTCCGGGTGGAGGTGAAGAGCTGCCGGTGGAGATCCAGGCTTCTGGGAGCGGAGCCTGAGGAACTCTGCCGCCGAGTATTGGAACAGACCTTCCACGGATAGATGGAGGAGCGACAGGGCAGTCCACACCACGACAGCCAGAGTAGCCGGTCCATAGAACCTACTGGTCCACATGGTGTAGTGTGGCGGAGAGGATGAGATGCGGAGCCGGGTCGAGCAGGCAGGCTAGGATCAGCTTACCCGTCAAGACACAGAAGGCGGTGAGAGCTCCAGTAGCAAAGTCTGGTGTGTAGGGTAAGAGTCCCAGGGAGAACAGCATTTGTTGATGGCTGGTCTCCAGAGCACGGAAGAGTGCTAAAAAAGTTAAAAGTTTACCGGAGAGCAGCGGCAGCCAAACGCGCCAGCGTCCACTCGAACCGGAAGTCATCAAGATAATGAGTCTCAACAAAACACAGTTAAGGAGTAGTCAGTCCTCTGAGGACGTGAGGGTGCTGAGCAGAGTCACAGAAGCATTAACACCAAGGTTATTTATCAAGCCCCACTGCTCACACTCCTCACAATGTTGCAATCACCGGAAAACTGCAAATCCCATTTTCTGAGCATCTCATTAGAGGCAGAGCAACCAAACCGCCCTCCATCCTCCGCTGCTTTCCTCCTCTGTTTCCATCCCTTCTATGTTGCTTTCAGTCAGCGTTCAGCCCTCTACCATGCAAAGTTTCAGGCTCCAGCTGGTAAAAAGCAGACTCTATGAAACCTGAATGTATTCCTGGTGATGTCACTGATTTGTCTGCCGAGCAGAGTTTTAAAGCCTATTGCGACTGCCGCCATATTTGAAATACTGACTTAAACTAACTCCTACTTAACCTTCCAGAGGTGGGAATTTAGCCTCCACTCAAATGGCTCCTGTGTGCAAGCCTATCAGGTCAGCTGTGCTGCCAATACACTAAACTTGTAACCTTAATTAATTAATTAATTAATTAATTACGGTTAATTAACCAAAATTAATTCACCAAAATTCAAATGATGCGCTTGAACCAAGAGGTTGCTGCAAGTCTGATCTCTCCATATTATCTGTAATTTTTGCTAGTTTTTTTTTTTTCATATTTTTGTTGTAGTTTTGTTGGCTGCTGATGGATACTTCTGCTGGGCGAAGAGTTTACTCAAGAGAAGAGCTCCTTTCATTGAGGAAAAGCAAATCTGGACAACAACATACAATTCCAGAGGACATCAGGAGGTGCCATCATGGTTGCCAGTCTGGTGCAAAGCTGAAGGCAAAGCTGAATGATAGGGGGTGGCGATATAAACCCTTTCTTCCATCAATCATCATGGGAAACATCAACTCTCTGCCCAACAAAAACGATGAGCTGGAGATATTGGTGAAGACTGAGAAAGCATATCGTGAGTGCAATTTCCTGTGTTTTACTGAAACCTGGTTGAATCAAAACAACTCAGACTCCAGTGTGGATCTACCTGGCTTCACTCTCATAAGGTCAGACAGAGATGCTCAAGCTAGTGGCAAGAAGAAAGGAGGAGGTCTGGCTTTATTTGTCAACCAGAGATGGTATAACCCTTAACACACAACTGTCAAGGAGAAGTTGTGTTGTCCAAATATTGAATTGTTGGCAGTTGCTCTCCGGCCATATTATGTTCCAAGAGAATTTAGTCATATCATAACAGTAATTGTTTACATTCCACCCAAATCAACTGAAGAATGTTGCAATGTTTTGCAAAATATTGTTGCCAGGCTACAGACTCAACACCCTGAGGCACTAATAATAATATCGGGAGACTTCAACCATGTCACCCTCTCCTCTCATCTGACTGGATTCACACAGTTTGTGAACTGTCCTACCAGAGAAAACAAGACCCCGGATCTGCTGTAGCCTGGCTGTGCCATCCTGTTGCGTGAATCACTTGACATTCCTTCCCACCACAGTCTGGACTTCGGCCCATTGGAAGCCCTGAAAGTGGGCGGGAGTACTTTCCTTGACAGACACACTACTGTAACCAATCACCATAACCAAGCATCTGACATCATCACAGATGCTTGGTTATGGTGACTGGTTACAGTAGTACATGGACCAATCAGGGGCTGCCTTTCCCTGTTGTCAGGGTAACAGTGAAAACATGGTCTCTGATTGGCCCAGTTATTTTCTGATCGGGAATACACGCTCCCAATGGGCAGAAGTCCAGACTGTTGTGGGAAGGAACGTCAAGTGATTCACGCAACAGGATGGCCCAGCCAGGCTAGGTTACTGCTACAAAGAGACTAAAATCTCTCCATGAGTCTGACTGTTAGAAAAGGCAGTGTTTTGATCGCAGAGCATGGTCAGGTTATTAAGAGGTTCATTTCTGTATTAAACAGAAATCTATAACCATTATTCCCCTGTACAGAAGCATTTTTTTAAACTTTGGTATTGATCAAACTGTTATCATATAGCATAGCATCTCTAGCATCTCCATCGCCTCATAGACAACAGTCACACACAATGACCCTGATCTAAACAAGGGACAAACAGGGACCCCGATTTGTAGTCAGGGGCACACGTGTCTCCTAATATGGATGCACCATTGAGAAATTATCAGTAGTATCATTCTTGAAAATACCCAGATATGCTAAATTACATGATTCTTTTGTTTTATTATTTTAAACTGGTGTGTGGTATTCGTATTACATTCCATCTCTGTGAAACTGGGTTGCCTCCTCACTAGGTGAAGCCCCGTAAGAACAGCACCCTCTGGTGACGGGTTGCAGTATAGGTCATAAATCCTGCCTCCTCCAGCAAACCTTATCAAGTTGTGGACAAAGTAACTGTTAATGCTAGTGTTGGTTTTTGGTCTCCTCTCCTCTCCTCTCCTCTCTCTCCCCCTGCTGCAGGCTGGAGTGGTGGATTGAATGCATCTGTGGCTGCAATCAGGAGCCAGCTTTGAAAAGGAGGAGAGCAGGCAGCTAGTCTCTCTCTGGAGCAGACCAAGTGAAGAGCCCTTTATCTTCAGTCAAAGTCCCCTCAATTTTTTTAGGGTTATCTTCAATACTTGTGGCAATTCCATTTAATTAAATATTTTTGATTTAGAGGAGTTTGTTGTTTGTTACATTTATTGATAAATGTTCAGTTACATTGGAAAGCTCCTGTCTCCCTCCTCATTCCTGTTTTTTTTTTTCTTGATTAATTGTTATTTTCCTGGAAATACCGAGAGCAATTCGGCTTCGAATTTGTAAAATGACAGAAGGTTGTTGCCAAATTGTCCATAGTATAAACAGTCTATGATTGTGATTTTTTTTTTCTTTTTGCAATTAATGATTATTATTGATTTCTGGCAGAGTTTCTACCACCACATGTTAATAACATAAATAATACCAAGCCAATAATAATACAAATAATATGAATGGAGAATAGAATATTCCTTTTATAGAATAGGGTAGAATAGAATAGAATAAAATAGAATAGAATATTCCTTTATTGATCCACCATGGGGGAAATTTTTTTGTCACAGCAGCATCACAGACAAAGAGTATGGGGTGCCGTTTGTAAAGCAGCCCATTATAAAAACAACAGCAAGATTTGGTCACATTTAGCAAAACAACAGCAAGATTTAGTCACATTTAGCTTCAAACAGCATTTAAAAACGTGATGTGAATTTTCGGCAGTCATTTTTTTGCACATTTACAACAACATTTAAATACTAAAACTAAATGTTAAATGTTAAATCTAAATGCTAAATATAAATCTTAAATATATATGTTAAATCTAAATGTTAAATCTAAATCTAAATGTTAAATATAAATCTAAATGTTAAATCTAAATGTTAAATCTAAATGTTAAATCTAAATGTGTTGGGCGAAACTAAATATTTAGCTAATATGCAAATTCACGGTCGGAAACCGGAAGTGCCAAAATAAAAGCTCCAGAAGGTCATATTGATGATTCTTGTGTCGAAGAAAACGAATTAAAACCAATTTAAGGGGGGAACAAATACTTGGGGTGACGTTTCGTGTTAATAACTACCTACAATAGCGACAGCAACAACAAAAACTTTATTAGAAAGACTCGAGTTTTCAGTGTCGCTTCTCCGTATGGCGCTGACACTGTACGAACCATAGACTGTATATAAGATACATATATATAGTCTATACGTATATACTTACATACAGTCTATGGTTTCGAACCCCGGCTTCTTGCGTCCCAGTCGTCCGCGTTACCCGTATGGCCAAAGCACTTCATGAATAGAGAAGGTGCCATGGAGTAGTATCACGTGTGCGCCTGCATGTGTGTGTGCGTGTGTTCGTACAGTGTCGTACAGTAGGAGAGATCCACTACTCTAAGAGCGGGCGGGTGACAGAGCTTGTGGTCAGAGCAGTCACAGAGAAAGTAAACTCGATGCTGTCTAAAACAAGTGACACTGCCGACTCAGAGGAGCACAAGACTTCCCCCACTATTCTAATCAAACTGAGTGGACACTTCAAGAGGATTCTCAAAAACTGCTACAAAATGATGAAGAAAATATTGACTACAAAGAACCTCAAGAAAGCTCAGAAAAGTGAGATGTTACACCAGGAGGAGAAGGTGGAGGAGACTGAGGATACATGTCCTGCTCCTCCTCCTCCATCTCCTGCTGAGACCTCTGTAACTTCTCTGCAAGAAGAGAAACCAGGCAGGGCTGAGTCTACAGTCAACAAACACCTGACCTTTCTTCAAGCAACCAAGGAAATCCTGGAGAAACAACTGGAAGAGATTGTTAATGATGCTCAGAGTTACTCCACAGAGGAAGAAGATAGCCCAAGCTGTGGGTCATTAGGGGTTTGCCCCTTTAAGGAGATAGCCAGCAACATTTCCAGTGGCAAGCTGGAAAGTTCTGCTAGAACGCTGAGTGACATATTGGCCAATCACTTGAAACCACAAAAAGTCCAAGAAGAAACAGACCGAGAAGAGATTCGTGCTGAAGTAGACAATATCTTTAAAGACATGGGGAATTGGTTAAAGAAGCAGATCCAACTGTGCAAGATTAGGAAGGACTGTGTGAACATGACTCTAAAGAAGTTCAGGCAATTGGTGCTCAATAACCATCTCAGTTCCCCCAAAACTGAAGCTGAGGATCAGACCTGCCCCACACCTGTGCAAGAGGAGGTTCAAAGCTTCACAGCTGAGAAGGAAGAAGAAGAGGCCTGCAAAGCTGAGGAGGAAAAGGAAGAAGCCTGCTCAGATGAGGAGGAGAAAGAAGAGGCCTACACAGCTGAGGAGCAAGTAGAACAGGCTCAGGTGGCAAAACCATCAGGTGAATGCACGGAATCTGTTCAAAAGGAGTGGGACCGACTGACTTGTGAATTCATTGTGAAGCTGTTCATACGCAAACTCACGAAAGATCTCTTCCCCAATCAGACCTACAAATTAGTGGAAGCCAGACTGACAGACGTGCTGTATGAAAAGATGATTGGTACTTCTGTTAATGTGGATTTGAGCCTGAAAAGCATAAAAAAGAAATGCAAAGCTGTGTACAAAGAACTATGCAAAAATGTTGATGGTGGAGTTCTTTGGAGAAGTCTCTTGGTACAGGGTCAACCAGTCATTGAGGCTGCAGCCGAGGCTCTAAAAAAGCATTTTTCATCAGAAAGACCCAGCGGCATCCAAAAGCTCTTGAGATGTTTTGCTGGCCTTTCACTTTCGGTTGTTGTTGGAAACATCAAACAAACCTTTTTTCCTCAAACCGCAGCTATTAGCCCAGGAACTCCTAGATGGATATGAGTACAGACTTCAGGCTCATACATGGCCACCCACGAATGGGTTTACTCCGAGTGCTTCGGTTTCTCCCAACACAAGACTAAATTCTTGAATGAAAAAAACACACACACACACACACACACACACACACACACACACACACACACACACACACACACACACACACACACACACACACACACACACACACACACACACACAAATCTAGCAGAGTGGCGCAGTGGAAGCGTGCTGGGCCTATAACCCAGAGGTCGATGGATCGAAACTATCCTCTGCTAACCATGCTGGAAATGTGCAGCTGTTCCATTCATGTCTCCCACAGCTGACGTTTCTTCTTCATCAGAATTGGCCATTTTTAATCAAAAGATAATGACAAAAAACATTCAGAAAAATTCCTCTTCTCCTCAAAAAATCTAAAATATCCAAAAACTTCAAAAACAGTTGGTCACCTTCCAAAATCCACATTCTTTTAACTTAATTTTGTTTATCAGAGGCTGCGCCCCCATGGCTTTCATTTGTTTGGAGCTGGAAAAACATTGGAAAAACAAAGAATGCAGTCCATTAGTACAAAAATAACGAATGTTTTCTGTTTCATTACTCTTCAAGCAATATTGTCGAACATGAAAATCATCAAAAAGGTTTGTAATGGGGGCATGTTTCTCCTTTGAAGTGCTTTCTTTGTTCCGTTTTGCCACGCGCCAGGCTGGCGACTCCTTTGTCCTTGTCCGGGCTCTCCAAGGCCTCAAAAGTCCCCCAAAGTCCATCAGCAGCTTGTTATCAACGAATTGTAGTGGCCCACTGCCTTAAAAAAGGTTATCCTCTTTTTTCCTTCCTTTGTGTCTGTTTGTTGGAACAGCTTCCTTTTCACAGTCATCACACGCGCAAGCTTTCAAAAAACATATTCTTGGAGAGCTGGATGAAGTTGCCTTGTTTTTTATTGCAAAGGTAAATACGTAAACGAATGAATAACATAGATTATCTAAACAATAAATCTTAGCTTAAAAGCCTGCGGTCCATGACAATTGGAGCTGTAAGCCATCATCTGGCCTTGTGTCCGCTGCTCCTACTCCGGTGAGTGCGCCCTCACCACCTGCGGGGGGTGCAGACAAAATTAAAGGTCAACAAAAACAAAATTCAACTATGTAAATAAAAACTCCAATGTGGCCCCTTCAAGTAGCCCATTGTGAGTCTGTGTTGTCCCCTTTCAGGCAGTCTGTACTCTGGTTGCCAACGGGATAGAACCAAAGTCTCAAAAATGGGTTGAACCTGTCATGGTCTGCCATACTGTTTGTGTTTTTTCTCCTAACTTTGACTGTAAAAAACAATAATTGGAGCGTCTGCTCTGCCAAAAACACTGCCAAAAAATTGTCACAATTGTGAAAATTTTGCTGTATGAATTTTTTTCACATCCTCAGTAAGTTGGGTAAGCTGTCAATGAATGCATTCTAGATTCATAGAACATAGATGGTGTGGATAGCATCCAATGAAAAAATAACTCTTAAAACACATTCCTACATGATTTTGTCTCAATTTAATGCAAATAAAATGAGGCATTTTCTCACTTTTCCAATATTATCAACCTTAATTCGTTGGCAATCAATTATTTCCCCAGGTTAGGACATTAGTCAATATACCATTCTTTCCACTGAACAGTATTCTCATTCCACCGAAAAAAATTATACAAGTCCACCAAAAATCATTGGATCTGTGATGATTTCACAACTACTTGGTGATCAACAGCTTCAGAACCTCAACAGAATTTTAGACTACTCTTAAAATTCCATAAGACATAGGCTTAAATGATATTTAATATGGCTGTTACTATCTAGCCTGGCTGTGCCATCCTGTTGCGTGAATCACTTGACATTCCTTCCAACAACAGTCTGGACTTCGGCCCATTGGAAGCCCTGAAAGTGGGCGGGAGTACTTTCCTTGATAGACAGACTACTGTAACCAATCACCGTAACCAAGTATCTGACATCATCACAAATGCTTGGTTACGGTGATTGGTTACAGTAGTACATGGACCAATCAGGGGCTGCCTTTCCCTGTTGTCCGGGTAACAGTGAAAACACGGTCTCTGATTGGCCCGGTTATTTTCTGATCGGGAATACACGCTCCCAATGGGCCGATGTCCAGACTGTTGTGGGAAGGAATGTCAAGTGATTCACGCAACAGGATGGCCCAGCCAGGCTAGTTAATATCCATATTATTAAACATCATGGCCTAGGCATCTTTTTAATTTCAACATAACCCTGTTCTCCCAATACAGCAAAATGGCTTTTTATTACCTCGGATGACAATTAAGGCAACTTTAATGAAACAAAAGGATTTAACGCAATTAACAAGGTTTAGGTCTCTTTGAGGTGGGATAGTCAGGAGGGTGGCACACTGCAGATACTACTCTAGAGACAGACCCTCACCCTAACCACCTGAGGAGACAAAACTACAGGGTGGGTTATACAGCAATGTGATAAAAGATGCACGACCACCACCCCTCTCTCAAACACACACACACACACACACACACACACACACACACACACACACTAGCTTATCTGTTGAACTACATAAGGGAAGCATGGGCAGCTCAGATCAAGTCACTTCCTGCTGGATGCACACTTACTCTTGGTGGAATCGATTGTCATTTGCCATAGAACACTAGTAATAAAGCAGTTGCATCCTTGGTGGGTTCTACTGCCTTTACTTCTTATCCTTTGGCAAATTTGGGTTGAGGAAGACCAATGATCTAACTTTTGCCGGCTGTAGGTAACTTCTTCTCCCTGTTAATATTTGTCCTGTCTTCGAGAATACCCTCTGTATGGAACCATTGTTGCCACTACATAGAGCTTCTGAACCCTGACTTTGGTAAGGCTGGGGTACACAAGGGCCCGGCTTTTCCACCACAGAAAAGGATCTTCATTTTTAGGAAGATCTCTCTTCCAGATAACCCCACATCTTCATGAAGGCATCTGCTGAGGGATTTTTTGGTTGTCACTACTCCAACTACCTCCTCGCATGGGTGGGGGATAAAACAATTTTATATTGGGATATTACTGTTATATTCGACATCCTCCTAATTTAAAAAGAATATATATATATGTGTATATATGTGTGTTTGATGCCTTTACATGTTCATGGAAATAGCTCCAACTGTGAACTGTTCCTCCACTGACTTAGTTTTTAGCATCTTATAACTTCTTTGCTGATTTGCTGTTTCTGGTATGAGGTAAAACTATTTTGCATCAACACAAATGGACCAGACACCAGTGGAGTGTACATTTTTCTTCACAGCTATTTATATAGAGATGTAGACATCAGAGAGCTAAAATTGAGCTGCACAGAGTAAGTAGGAGTGAAGGAGAGCCATGCTGGTGAGATGGATAGAGAGAAAGATAAGGCATGAATAAAAGATTGGCAGCAGATTGAGTGTCAGGCCGAGCAGAGGGAAAAGCTCCAGCACAGATTCTTTGAGAGTCTACATTCACATGCACAGCCCCCTCCTCTTATAACCTTCCACTATGGTTCTCAGCACCACCATTTACTCCCATGTCAGCGCTGCCTGCCTCACACAAACAGACAGGCACATTTGTAGGCTATACATAAATAATTACTAAGCCTACACATTCAAACTGTTAGCTTTACACCGCTTTCTGCTTTCTTACACGCCGGGAACAACGGAAATTTACAACACGAAATTAGGAAATATTAGGAGGCGAAATTTGACGCACTTGACTATACTCATCTAGTGCGATGTGATTTTACTTTCGACTTTCCGGGGGGAAAATAGACGCTTCCTGGGTGGAAGCGAGAAGACTGACACAACAGCAGACTGACTGTTTTCAGTTCTGATAGACACTAGTGTTGAGATGACTGTATGTCACGATAGCATGTACTGAGTCGGGGCCAGTACCAGATAAAAACATTAAGCTATAATCCATAAACCTAAGGTAACAACCGAGACCTAAAAGAGCTGCGACAGCAACACGATTGAGTTTGAGACAGTGAAAATATATATGGTATGTTGTATCTGAACAGGTTAGCTAACGAGCTAAATTTAGTTAGCACAGATGAAAGTTAAAACAAAGACGTTTAGCAAACTGTTAAAGCACACAAACTATCGTCATATGAGAGATCCTATGCTATGACTCGCCACAAGTTGTCCTTCAGGTCGTTATCTTTGTAATGTTTGTGTCTTATCAAAAAAAACTGTTCTCCGACATGTAAACAATCAGCTGGTTGGCCATGTTGGATATACCGGTGAATCTGACGTCACAGCAACACGAAATGTGATTGGTCAGAAGTGGACACACAGTATGCGAAACTTTTGAAAATTCGACCGTGATACGAAAGAATAAATACTGCAATATCGCAGGACAGGAAAACATTTCTGATGTGAACGCTTGTATTGACAGGATATGGGTTCAAAAAAAATTATTGACGCCAAAATGCATGAAAAAACGCTCCCGGTGTGAAAGGACCTTAAGTCACGAGTGACATGAGGAAGTGTGTGTGCGTGTGAGAGAGAAAGAGAGAGAGAAAGAGCGAGAGAGAGAGAGAGAGTGAGAGCATTGTGCTCGCAGGTCAAACTGTTGTGGCTGCTGAAAGTGGAAGTCTTCAAACTGACCCTGAATAAATGGTTCATGTGTTTCCAGAAGGAGGGGTACAGAAACAGTGGCACTTTACAACACAAATAGTTGCGCAATAGTTCATAAATGACTGTTAAACTCACGTTTGGGTGGACAGCAGTGCTTTTGCTGTAAACCTAGGCTTGGCTGGGATTTGAACCTATTACCTTTCGTACCCTTGTGAGGTTTATACCCATGGACCAGTGAGCCACAGTGTATAGATACATATGTGAATGTGCAGGGACATATAATTAGTGAGGTATCCAAAGATCATCGAGTGTTTTGGGTCTCACAACATCAGATACCCTCTCTCAGGTGACCCAGTCAGGGCTGATCAGACCCTGACTTGTGTCCCAGCAGTTTTGGCCTACGTTT